AACCTAAAAAGCAATCAAATAAATAAATGGGAAAAAAAAAGAATTATCTAGGAAAGAGGGTAAGACTTTGGAACAGGGTGACAGTATTGGAAGTGATCAGATTCTGGATAGATTTTGAAGATTGAGTGGACAGAATTTGCGGATGTGTTAGCTATGGGGTGGAAGAGTGGAAAAATTAAGGAGTAATCCAAAGATTTTGGCTGAACCATTAGTATAAAGTTGCCATTTGCTGAGATGGTGAAGACTGTGGGAGGAGTAGATATGAGGGTAATCAGGTGATTTGGACACATGAAGTTTGAAATGCATCTTTGACTTCAAAGGGGAAGCATAGAATAGGAAGGCAAAATATCAGGAGAGAAGTCAGAGCTGAGGTTTCAGTTTTTTGGTGTGCATACCTGGGTGTGTATTTGGCTATCAATTAGGTAAAGAATATGTGCACCATAGGGCTGCTGGGACCTCCAGCAGAGTGAGTACATAAAGAAGGTTTGAAGGGCTAGTCCTGGCCACTCAGTGTTTAGGATCTGGAAGATGAAAAAGTGTCAGTGCTGAAGTAGCCAGAAAGAGAGAGACAGAGAGAAAACCAGGAGAGTTTGGTGTCCTTGAAAGCACGTGAAAAGGGTGCTGAATGAGGTATTTAGCAAATGGGTAGAATAATCATACTCTCACAAGCACAGATTCCCATCGAAACAAAGCCAATGGGAGCAGAGAAGAAAGTCTGCGAGTATTAATTTTGTATTAGGCAGATAGTCTATTAATAGAAACTCACTCGTATTTAGGTCTGTTGTAATTGTTGGCTTAGGTATATTTTTATAACAGATGTAATTCTGTTTAGAGCAGAGAATAAAATCTGTAACCTGAACTTCCTAATTCCCTCCCTGAAGGTGGTATGTGTTGTGAGGGAGTGATATAAAGAGGCTGTATCCTTTAGGAACAAGTGATTGTCTATCTGTGTAATAGCTTTAGTGCAGTTATAGTCATAAAATATGTCACTTGAGAGAGTGGAAGTGACAAGAAGAACATGACTTACTGGATATCAAAGCATTAATGTAGCCACAGTAGCCACAGCAGGACGGGGGCAGGAATAGATGGATGGAACAGAAGAGGAAACGACTTATACTATATACATTTTGCATGTGCTGATGTCATTCATTGGAATGTAAAGAAAGTTATTTTTTTAAATGGTGCTGGAAATAGTTAAATAGGTTGAAAAATGTCACATATCACCTACTGTCCTATAATCAAGTGGATTTGAATGTAACATAAATGATAAAACCATAAAACTGAAGAAAATATTGATGAATGGTTCTATCTGACCTGAGATTGGAAAACTGATTTATGTGAATGCTGCATGAAGCTGAATTTATAAAGTATTGCTAGACCTGACTATCGAAAAAAACGGGCTGGGCCAGGTGGCTTACACCTGTAATCCCAGCACTGGGAGGCCAAGGCAGACGGATCATGAAGGCAGGAATTTGAGACCAGCCTGACCGACATGATGAAGCCCTGTGTCTACTAAAAAATACAAAAATAAGCTGGGCATGGTGGTGTGTGCCTGTAATCCCAGCTACTCAGGAGGCTGAGGCAGAAGAATCACTTGAACCTGGGGGGCAGAAGTTGCAGTGAGCCGAGATTGCGCCATTGCGCTCCAGCCTGGGGGACGGAGTGAGACTCTGCGTCAAAAAAAAAAAAAAAAAGAAAAAAAAGAAAAAAAAGCCTGGAAACATATAAAAGGCAAATGGCTGGAAAACAAGGGAACATTTGTGACAGACAGAGAAATAATATGCTTTGTAAAGAGCTCTTAGATGAAGGGCCTAAGAGAATTACTAACAAAGGAACCAAAAGACAGTTTGTAAAAGGAATATAAATGGCCCTGAGTCATAGGAGTGAATTGAGACTCATTAAAGTCAAATGATTGGGAATAAAAAATGAAAGACGGGTTTCACCCATCAAATGAAACTGCCCACCATCCCTACTGTGGCTGTTAGCTGGACTGTGGGGGGCTGCTGGTCCATGAGGACTTCTGTTCTTGGTCACTGTAACCAACATGACTCCTTGGTGATTTCCATACCCACGTGCAGGAACCATGCAGCACCCTGGCCTCGCAGCTCCTTGATCTTCCCTTCTCCAGTGAACTTGTCCTCCACCCAACCTCTGACATCTGCTCCCATCTTGACACCCAGCTTTATAATCCATAACTACAGCTTCTCTCAAGGGCAGTTTCTAAAATCCCACACTTGGCTGCTATCTCCTCTCTTTCTTTCCGTCTCTGACTCTTTCCGTCTCTGACTCCAGCCATCTTTTGGCCTCAGGGCTCACTTACTGCTCTTTTCACTGCTAGCCTTTCCTGTCCCTCCTTCCTCAGCTTAAACACCAAGGTCGCTCAGTGTCATCCCTCCTTTGCCCCTCTATCTTTTTCTTGTAATCAATTGCCTGACTACAACCCTGGTTGAAGCCATGTCCCTGCATGCATGTGCCAAGCTGATATGGCTGCATAAAAATAGACAACCACATGGATCGGGACTTCCAGCAGGTCCACATGCTGCCAGGGTACCACCCTCTGTTTCCTGAGCCCATTTACTCTCCCTTTCCTTAGATGACTATTTAAGATCTTCTCACTTTTCCTCAAACCTCTAACACATCTTCTCATCCTCACTCTCAGCTGACACCCTTGCTTCCTGTCTCACTAACAACAAAACAAAACAACATGGAAACAATTGAGCTTCCCCCACGATGGGTGTCACTTCTCCCCCTTTCCTGTCATTCCTTGGGACATGGCGTGAACAGCCCTATACGTGTGCATTGCATCCCATCCTCTTGCACCCAACCGAGCACGTTGCCCCAACAATTCTCAAGTCAGTTCTTCCTCCTCTACAGGATTATTTCCATCACCATACAAACATGATTTTATTTCTCCTGTCTTAAAAAAAGAACCCTCTCTCTTGACTGCCCCTTTCTCTCCTTCCCTTGGCATCAGAGCTCCTAATAAGATTAGTCTATAATCACTGTCTCCACTTTCTCTCTTGAACCCACTCCAGTCAGGTCTTTGCTCCTCTCACTCCACTAAGACTGACTCTCATGGGCACCAGTGGCCTCCTTGTTGCTAATCTAATGGTCAATTCTTAGTCTTCCTCTTAATCCTGATCCCTCCAGCCTCCCTGAGACTTCACTTGGCTTCTGGGTCACTGCATTCTCCTCATTGTTTTCTTGCCTTGCTGTCTGCTCATCCTCAATATCCTTCACTGATTCCTTCTGGCATTCAGACCTCTGAATACAGGCATGCCCACAGCCTTCATCTTTGGATGGATCCTCTTTTCTGTCTATTCTATGTGCTGTTAATTCCTGTGTGTCCTCAACCTTGACCTCTCCCTAAGCTTCAGTTCTCTATCCAGCTGCCTAGTTGGTACCTCTACTAGTATGCCTTAACCTGTTTCTCATATTTAATAAGCCCATATCGGAGGTCTTCATATCCACCCTCTACCTCTGTTCTGTTTTGTTCCTTTCCAGACTTCTCCAAATTAATAAATGGCAACTTTCTTCTCCAAGCTGCTCAGGCCAAAAAGCTGGGACTCACCCTGACTCTTTCTTAGCTCTCTCCAGTTCTGGCATCAGCAAATCCTGTAGGTGCATGAGCCACCTTCACAATGTCTCTAGATTTCGATCTCTTCTCACCATCCCCATCACATCTATTCCATTGTAACCATCATCTCCATCCTGGATTACAGCACTAGGCTCCTTCGTTCCTCGGCCTGCTCCAGCCTGTTCTGAACACAGCAGCCAGAGGGATCTTGTTAAATCCCAAGTCAAACCCTCCAGTGCTCCCCCTCTCTTCCAGGGAAAGTTGATGTGCACACGGTCCTCCACAACACATCTCCTCCTTCTCTTCTGATTTCAGTTCCTCCTCTGACCTCACCTATGTGCATTACTCTTCTTTCTCCCTTTCTCCAGCCACACTGATTTTGCTTTACCTTGAACTTGTCAACCAGGCTCTCATCTCATCCCTTCACGCTTGCCGATCCCTCATGTCTGCAATCTTCTCCTCTAGATATTTGCACGCCATCTCCCTATTTAGGACTTCACTCAGCTATCTTGCCAGTAAGCCCTTCTCTGCCCACCCCTTCTAAAATTCACGTCCCTTTTCACCCAACACTTCCAGTTGTCCTTGCTGGATTTATTTTTCTTATTAGCATTTAAAATGAACATGCTATATACTTTACTGATTTCTCTTATTTACTGAAAGCCTCCTGCACAAGAATGGAAGCTCCAGGAAGCAGGAATCCTTATCTCTGTTGCTTACTGCTGTGTCTCAGCACCCAGCCCAGAGCCTGGCACCTAGTAAATACCCAATAAGTAGTTTTTTGAGTGACAAGATATTAAATGTGATAATTCTCAGCCTTGGCACGAATGTGGCCAGATGGTCACTCTCATCTTTGCTTGGAAGGTTCAATTACTAAACGCTTTTTTTGTTTGTTTGTTTTGAGATGGAGTTTCACTCTTGTTGCTCAGGCTGGAGTGTAGAGGTGTGATCTCAGCTCACTGCAACCACCGCCTCCTGGGTTCAAGTGATTCTTCTGTCTCAGGCCTCCTGAGTAGCTGGGATTGCAGGCACCCATGCCCCCACACCTAGCTAATTTTTTGTATTTTTAGTGGAGACAGCATGTCATCATGCTGGCCAGGTTGGTCTCAAACTCCTGACTCAGGTGATCCACCCGCCTCGGCCTCCCAAAATGTAGGGATTACAGGCATGAGCCACCACACCTGGCCCACTAAAGCCTTTCTAGAGAGCAGTTTGGCAATTTGAATCAAGAACATTTAAGGCCAAGTGCATTGGCTCATGCCTGTGATCCCAGCACTTTGAGAGGCCGAGGCAGGCAGATCACTTGAGCCCAGGAGTTTGAGACCAGCCTGGGCAGCATGGCAAAGCCTGGTCTCTACAAAAAATACAAAAATTAGCCTGGTGTGGTGGCTCTCATCTGTAGTTCCAGTTACTCAGGAGGCTGAGGTGGAAGGATTGCTTGAGCCTGGGAGGTCGAGGCTGCAGTGAGCCATGGTCACATCACTGCACTCCAGCCCAGGTGACCCTGTCTCAAAAACATATATAAGTAAATAATGAGATGTAGTGACTTCAAAAGGAACGTTCATCAAAGTTGCTTAAAGGAGAGTTGGAAGCCATATAATGTCCAACAATAAAGGACTGCCTAAAAATTATGAATCAGCTATGCGAGGGAATATTGTATAGTCATAAAAATTATACTTTTGAAGAACATGCAACTTAATGGGAAAGTGTGCATTGTCTACTTCAGAAAGCAAAGATGAAATTTTATATAGAATTATCTCAGATATACATGAATGTGTGTATATACGCATACACATAAATATAATAGTGTGTCTATAAGAGAGACAGGAAATACTGCTTTTCTGTTTGTGATGAAATGCAAATTCCTTATGTATTTTCCTAAAATGTTTAAAATGAGACTTTTGTAATCAGAAGTACATAAGCCCTCTTCCCCCAAAGAAAATGATTATTCTACTGCCTATCTTGGCTGTATTCTTACTTGGGGGTAGGGTGGGTGGAGTGAACAGGGAGGGCTAATCTCTCCTCCTCCTTTCTGACTCATTCCACAGCCAATTCTCTTTCTTATTATTCTCCAAAGGCATGAGGACCTTCCACATTCCAAAGTATTTCATTTCCGAAGTATTTTATTGTCGAGGGTATTTCTTCTGGACTATTTTCCACTTCCCTCCATCTGCCCAGCCAGGTATTCTGCATCTGTAAAAGCTGGTTTCTGATGTCATCTCTAGGCAGGACCACTCCGTCTCTCTCCTGCACTCCTATACTTCATGGCAAATCCGCCCCACGATAGCACTTGTCACTCTGTTTTCCAAATTCAGTTCCATTCATTTTCTTCACATTGCACTGAGCCCACTGATTTCTTTCCCTCTCTGTTGCCAGCACTGGAGACCAAGCCTGCACCATCAATCATCTTTTAACACAGAATCAGGGAGAGTGGAGAGTGTGGAGTGGTGTGGCCAGTCTTTGCCTCTTGCTGTTCAGTGAACTTCATGCCTGTCCTCCTGATCCCCAGCGCTAGCGCAGGGTCAGGCTCATGGAAGTGAACAACAACCATTGATCTCTGGAGGATTGGTGGAAGTCCTTTCATTTACTTGACAGTTTACCTGTCAATTTTACATGCGTGGTCATTTCTAATCCTCTACACTTTCAGGTAATGGAAAAATAATGTAAATCAGTTTCTTCCTTCACCACTGGTCTAAAATCAGTGATTAAACTTTTTGTCATTTTTATTTTTATTATTATACTTTAAGTTTTGAGTAAATGTACAGAATGTGCAGGTTTGTACATAGGTATGCACGCACTATGGTGGTTTGCTGCATCTATCACCCATCATCTATCAAATTAGTGCAATCAAATTAGAACTTGGGCATTAGAAAATCACGCAAAAAGGCACAACTACATGGAAACTGAACAACCTGCTCCTGAATGACTACTGGTTAAATAATGAAATGAAGGCAGAAATAAAGATGTTCTTTGAAACCAATGAGAATGAAGGCACAACGTACCAGATCTCTGGGACACATTTAAAGCAGATGTTTTAATATTTAACATCTTAAAAAAAAAAAAATTTTCCAGGCTAGCCTCATGCCTAAATAATGCATGCATCTACTTCCCCCTGGTGGACTCATCTTCTAATAGCAGCTTGGCTTTTCCCCCTTTATTATTGGCAGGAGTAATCCATCTCTTACTTTCCTTAACACAGAGATTCATGGATTGCAAGGTTCAGAGGTTTCTTCATAATAGCAGGAAGTTTATGTTCTGGTTTGCCACTTATTAGCTGTGTAACTTGGGCAATTTACTTATCTTCTCTACAACTCAGTTTCTTAACCTGTAAAATGGGGACAGTATCAATCATAAAATATTTAAAATGAATACATATGAAGTGCTTACTACATAACATGTATTAAGTCACTAAATTTCTGCAAAAAACCGTATTACACAAGATTTAAAATGGCCCATACAATGGAAACAAATAGCCTGAGCAACATGGCGAAACCCTGTCTCCAAAAAATACGAAAGCATTAGACGGGCGGTCCCAGCTACTTGGGAGGCTGAGATGGGAGTCCAAGGAGGTTGAGGCTGCAGTGAGCTGTGATCGTGCCACTGCGCTCCAGCCTGCTGGACAGAGTGAGACCCTGTCTCAATAAATATAAATAAATAAATAAATGGACACAAATATTCTTTCTGTTTTATAAATAAGGAAATCAAGAACTAGAGAAAATAGTTCCTACTTCGTAGAGAAGTGTGAGAATCAAATGAATTAATACAGGGAAGATGGTTAGAGAGGGCCTGGTACGTAGCAAGTGTCCCCTAACATCCTGGCCATTGTTAGTGTTACAGGATCGGTTCTGTGACAAAGGCATTGCCACGGGCCTTGTGGATCCTTGTTCACACTTGAGCTACTCTCATTTTCAACACGCACCACTCACTTGTGTAACAAAATATACACCATATCAAACAATGAGCTATGCTTATAGATTCATAGTTTTCTAGACACTTCTTAAGTCAGGACATAAGTCTTCATTTCTCCAGAGGCTAAGAGAAGGTCAGCCCATTTCACTCTTGAGTGTACTGGGGAGATCCTGGGAGAGGGGAAGGAAGAGTGAATGGGCAGATCGAGTATTTATATTAGGATGCAGCTGTCTAGCAGTAAAGGGGATCCTCATATATTTTCCCCACATTTTCCCAGGTCTGACCATGAGCAGTGGGGATGAAGGAACTGTGAAATCACCCACAGCTGTGCATGTCATCTGTTAGCCTGCTCATTTCCTCACGCATCTACACCCTGAGCCCCTAAGTGTCTTGCACTGTTCAAAGTTCTGGCCTCTCTTGCTCAGCGCTTCCTTATGAAGTCCATCACACTGCTGATGCCAACAGAAGCAAAAGAATCAGGGACACAGATGAAGGTGAGAACACAACCAATGTGTGGATTTTCGTGAAGAGAAATCCTTTACATTTGCTGGGGTCTGAATACTTGTGTCCCCGCCACCACCCCAACTCATGTGTTGAAATCTTAACTATCAACTTCATGGTATTAGGAGATGGGGCCTTTGGGATGTGATTAAGTCATAGGGATTCAGGCCCTTAGGAAAGAGGCCTGAGGGAGCTTGGTCATCATTTCTACCAGGTGAGGACACAGCAAGAAAGTATCCTCTATGAACCTGGAAGGGGACCCTCACCAGACATTGAATCTGCCAGAGCCTTGATCTTGAGCTTCCCAGGCTCCAGGACCATGAGAAATACATTTTTTTTTTTTTTGGTTATTTATAAGCCACCCAGTCTATGGTATTGTGTTATAGCAGCCTGAAAGGACTAGGACAACACTGCATTTAAAAAATAAAACATAGGTATTGTATTAAGAAATGCAACAGGCTGGGTGTGGTGGCTCATGCCTGTAATCCTGACATTTTGGGAGGCTGAGGCAGGTGGGTCGCCCAGGAATTTGAGACCAGCCTGGGCAACATGGCAAAACTCCATCTCTGCAAAAAAAAAAAAAAAAAAAATTAGCTGGGTGTGGTGGTGTGTACCTGTAGTCCCAGCTACCAGGGAGGCTGAAGTGGGAGAATCATCTGAATCCGGGAGGTTAAGGCTGCAGTGAGCCAAGACCTGCACTGCACTCCAGCCTGGACCACAGAGCAAGACCCTGTCTCAAAACTCAAAAAAGCAAAGAAACAAAAACAAAACAAAACAAAACGCCCAAACAACAAAAAAGAAATGCAGTAGTGTGACTGTTTTTGAACTCTCAACAGCTGACATTAAATTTGATTCTTGATTAAAGGCTAATCATGCAAAATTAAATATTGAACTTCAAACAATTTAAATTTAAAAATAAATAAATTGAAATTAAATTTCCATTCCAATATGAATGGAAATTATTGGGGGTGGGAGGGAGTACATTTTGGGACTTGATTTTTTTTTTAAACAAATAGAGCACTAGAAGCTATCTCATAGAAAGCTAAGGAAATATGAGAGAACGTTCTAGGAAATGGCCAGGTCACAGGGTGCGCCATGGAAAGTCGAGCTTGGTGCTGATTCTAATCTGAAGATGAGCACTACAGTGACAGCACAGGCTGCTTCACGGAAAATGGGCAGCTGCCCCCACGTGTCCTTCACCTAAAAGCAGCAGTTCCCTCTAACGCTAATGCTGTGAAGGTGTACCAGGGCACAGTGGATGTTGTCATGCAATTCATTGCCATTTACCTTTCTGCTGAGCATAGAATGGAATCTCATCCACGCTCATTTTATTTTCTGATGACATTAAGAGCCCCTGATTTCTTTCTTCCTTCCCTCCCCTCCCTCCCTCCCTCCCTTACCCCCTCTCTTGCTCTCCCTCCCTCCCTCCCTTCCCCCCTCTTCCTCTTTCCCCGCCTCCCTCCCTTCCTTCCTCCCTCCCTCCCTTCCTTCCTTCCTTTCTTTCTTTCTGACACAGACTCACTCTGTCACCCAGGCTGGAATGCAGTGACATGATCATAGCTCACTGCAGCCTCCAACTCCTGGGTTCAGGTAATCCTCCTGCCTCAGGCTCCCAAGTAGCTGGGACTACAGGCATGCGCCACCATACCTGGCTGTTTTTATTCTTTTGTAGAGACAAGTTCCCACTATGTTGCCTGGTCTCAGACTGGTCTTAGACTCCTGGGCTCAAGTGATCCTCCTTTCTTAGCCTCCCAAAGTGCTGGGATTACAGGCATGAGTCACCACGCAAAGCCTGATTGAGTTATTTATTGGTTTTGAGAGCAATGCCCAAAGGCCTGAGAAATGGTAACTCATTCAGTGAAAGCTACAACGTGAAATATCAACTTGAAAAAACGGAAAACAAATTGCTTAATTTCTCCTCCACAACTTGAAAAGGAACAGTGCAAAATGTTGATTTAGAGAAAAATTCGTCATGCAAGATTTAGAGGAAATTCAGCAAACATTTATTGAGCACTTACTATTTGGGCCAGGCTGGTGTTAGATCCTTTCTATATATAGTCTCTCATTTAATTCTTAAAGCCACAGAGAAATTAAAACTATAGAGATTATTATACTATAACAAGGTTAACTCTCTATGCAATGGTTTGGGATTTCCGTGTATGGCTATTTACTGCTAGAGAATTTAATTTGGAGACAAAGCGATTTTAATGCCCTCACGCCTATAGGTATACTTTCCTTTCTCTTCCTTCTGTTGGAATGTGAAGAGGCCCAAGAAAATATTACTCTTCCTTGCCAAGTTTTGAACGAGTTGAGAAATAGAACAAAAGAGTAAGGCAAATGGAAGAGCAAGATGTCACCTTTGTTGCTGATAAAGCTGACTTTGGAGATTGTGGCTTTTTTTCTGTGGGCAAGCAGATTTCCTACTACCGAACCCCAGAATTAGAAATACCTAGCCACCAGCAGTGCAGGGCCACCCTGGGCCTCTGCACACACAGGAGCATCCCCAGAAAACCCTCAGTGTGTGTGTGTGGTGGCAGGGTGTGGGGAAGAGAATGTGTATTTCCTGCAGTGAGTCATCTCCCAAGGAGAAAGGGAGGAAAAGGGCTGAGCTGCCCTGGTGCAGCACCTGCTATTAGCAGAGTTGGCCCGCACCGGCTTGTGGATATCCCTTCTCAGCTCCAGGTTTGGTGAGTCCTTGTTGGTAGCTTGGAATCAGCCATGCTGAGATGGGTATCTTTACACCACAGAAGTTATCAAATGCTGCAAATTAAAGCTTTTCCCCCAGAGAACTAGTTGTTGAACATTTAACAGCACACCACTAACTGCTCCCAAAATTTCCAACCAGAGATCTTTCTTCTTCCCCAGCAAAAACGTGAATGAGAGGGATGGAAAAAGGGTAGAGCTTCTTCCATATGGAAGCAATATCAGGAGCTGAGAAGCAGAGTTCAGCATCACCACTGTCTTCCTCCAGGTGAGATAGAATTACATCTTTCTCAATGATTCTCAAGACCAGGGCCATGAGAATGATCCCTCCAGCTAGGGCTCTGCTCTGTTTCCCTTTACAGCAAAATTCCTCAAAGGGTTGCCTACACCTTCTGTTTTTTTTTTTTTTTTAGATGGAGTCTCACTCTGGTGCTCAGGCTGGAGTGCAGTGGAGTGATCTTGGCTCACTGCAACCTTCACCTCCCAGGTTTAAGTGATTCTCCTGCCTCAGCCTCCTGAGTAGCTGGGATTACAGGCGTGCAACACTATGCCCGACTGATTTTTTGTTTTAATATTTTTAGTAGTAGAGATGGGTTTTCACCATGTTGGTCAGGTTGATCTCGAATTCCTGACCTCGTGATCCACCTGCCTCGGCCTCTCAAAGTGCTGGGATTACAGGCTTGACCCATCGCACCCGGCCCACCTTCTGTTTTAAAATATTTTCTTTGGGTCAGATCATTAATGAGATAGGGCTGATGAAGCTTCTTACCCTACTGAGAAGTACTGGGAAGTTAAAGGCTCAGATGCATGCGTGATCCTTTTATGACAAGGGCGCATACTCCTTTTAGAGAGGCATGAAGAAGTGGAGACCGTCATCCACTCACCACTACCACCCATGGTCCTTGAATTCTGCATGCTCATCACACTGCTGAGGACGATCGCTATGGGGTTCCCTAAAGCTTTGCCTTCCAGGGACATTTCGTTTCCAGAGATCACAGTGTTAGTGTAGTGGTTGGATTTACACACATAAGGACATGCACTGTCAGAGCCTGATCCTGTATTTTTAGCTGTATTCTCCTGACTTCAGATCCAACCATGCCAGAAAATTCATCCTTGATTTTCATTTCCTTGAGTGTTTGGCCACCTCAGACCACTCCTAATACTGATTACTATAACAGGGCTCTTGTTGAAACACAGAATCCACTTTAACTAATTGTAGCAGAAAAGGCATGTATTAAAGGATATTAGGAAGTGCAAGAATCTTGGGGGTGAGGAGGGAGAAGGAAGGCAGAGAGTGTCAGGCTCTGGAGGCTATTTCAGCTAGAAGCAAGACCCAACTCATCCCATGGGGGTGCTCCAGTGAAGACCCCAATGCTTCTGCTCCTGCTGCTGCTGTGCTCAGCACAGATTCTGCTTTTCCCACTCGTGATTCTGGGATTGCACACCCGAGGCTCTGCCATCTGCATCAATGCCCTGCTCCTTCTAGCACCTCCCGTCTGTCCTCACTTTGTGCGCTCGGAAAGCATGTATCTAACTGATGGAGTCTATGTCACATGACTGGCCCCAGCTGCAAGGGTGGCTGCCAGGTGGAGTTCTGGCTCCCTCCCCTGGGGAGGAGGGAGGGACTCATAACATGTTACTTTCTCCAGTATAAGAGGGATGGTCCCAACACGACGCATGCCCACCGCCCTTTCCAAATCCCACTTCTCACCACTTGGCCTTTCCCTCCCTCATTGTGAGTGGCTTGGAGGCCCTGAAATTTCTTGTCACCAAGCTTTTAAACAATACTTTCTCTTTGCCTGGGATGCTCAGCTCACCCCACTATGGCGGAGGCGTCCTCAGGCTCAGCTGTCACCTTTTCCAGGAAGCCTTCCCTGGCCCAGCAGAAGCCAAGGTAGAATCATCACAGACACATGCATGGACTCTCATGGAGCCCCAGAAGCAAAGTGCTCCCCACTGCAAGAATTCTCCCAAGGGTTTCCTGCCCATTTTTTTTGCTCTTCCTTCAGGTCCTGGTGATGGCTGCTATTATTTCCATTTTTTCTTGTTCATGCCTCAATGAAGAAGAATCACATTTATTTATTTATTTATTTAGAGTCAGGGTCTCAACCTGTTGCCCAGCTGGAGTGCGTGGCATGATCATAGCTCACTGTAGCCTCGAACTCCCAGGCTCAAGCAATCCTCCTGCCTTAGCCTCCCAAGTAGTTGGGCCCACAGGCATGTACCACCATGCCCAGCTAATTTTTAAAATTTTTGTGCAGATGGGTCTCATCATGTTGCCCAGGCTGGTCTCAAACTCCTGGGCTCAAGTCATTCTTCTGCCTTGGCCTCTCAAAGTGCTGGGATTATAGGCCCTAGTCACGGTGCCCGGCCAGACAAATCACGTTTTTGTTTTTTTAAACACAAAATCTCACTCTGTCACCCAGGCTGGAGTACAGTGGCGTGATCTCAGCTCACTGCAACCTCTGCTGCCAGGGTTCAAGTGATTCTCCTGCCTCAGCCTCTTGAATAGCTGGGATTACAGATGCCTGCCACTGTACCTGGCTAATTGTTTTTTTTTTTTTTGTATTTTTAGTAGAGATGGGGTTTCACCATCTTGCCCAGGCTAGTCTTGAACTCCTGACCTCATGACCCAACCACCTTGGCCTCCCAAAGTGATGGGATATACCCAGTGACAAATCACTTTTAAAAACAATCTAGAGGCCAAGTGCAGTGGCTCACACCTGTAATCCCAGCACTTTGAGAGGCTGAGGCAGAAGGATCGAGTGGGCCCAGGAGTTTGAGACCAGCCTGGTGGCAATATAGTGAGACCCTGTCTGTACCAAAATTTAAAACTTAGCTGAGTATTGTGGTGTGTGCCTGTGATCCCAGCCACTCAGGAGCCTAAGGTGGGAGGATTGCTTATGCCTGGGAGTTTCAGGCTGCAGTGGGCTATGATCAAGCTACTGCACTCCAGCCTGGGCAACAGAGGGAGATCTTGTCTTTAAAAGCAACAATGATAACAACAAACAATCTGAAATTGTATTTGAGATTAACATGCACCTCTTCTGGCTTCAGTGGCTTTGGTGAGGAGCCAAATTGTTTCTCAGGAGTGTATCAAGTACGCAGCGCAATAGCACCCTGTCAGGCCGTTCTTTGTGTTGCTCTAAAGAAGTAGCTGAGACTAGGTAATTTAGAAAGAAAAGAGGTTTAATTGGCTCAGGGTTCCGCAGGCGGTACCAGCGTGGCTCCAGCACCTACTTCTGGCGTGGCCTCAGAAAGCTTACAACCGTGGCAGAAGGCAAGGTGGGAGCAGGTCACAGGATGGCAGCAGAAGCAAGAGGGCAGGGAGGGAGGCACCGCACACTTTTAAAGAGCCAGATCTCACCAGAACTCACTCACTCACTATCACGAGGATGGCGCCAAGCCATTCACAAGTTATCTGCCCTCATGACTCAAAGACCTCCCACCAGGCCCCACCTCCAGTATTGGCCATTACACTTCAACATGAGATTTGGAAGAGACAAGCATCCACACTGTATCAAGCACTTAGATCTTTATAGCTGGAAATCCATGAGGCTATGGCCTGTGTGGGAGTGGGGGTGGTGGGGTGGGCAGTTAGGCAATGGAAAAGTGGTGGGGCAGGGGAGAGAGGGAGAGGGAGAGCGGGAAGGAAGCCAGGCTCTGCTGAGAAGCTATGGGCTGCAGGAGTAGCTCCCGATGTTGGAGTTCAGCTTGCTTGGAAGGCCTCTAGGGCTGCTCTGTTTACTGAGCTGAGCTGCTGTGAATTCTCTTAACATCCGCAAAAATTGACCATATAACAGTTCTGTCTCCTTGATCCCACTCATATGAGAACCATTTATTTCATAGTCTTTTTCATTAAGCAGAGATTTGATATTTATTAACACTCCCATGTTTCAAAAGAGGAAACTGAGGTATAGGAGAGCAATGCCTTTGCCTCAAGGCCTCTCATCCACTGGCAGGTTCCACCCACACCTTTACTGAATGTCTGCAAAGGGTCAGGCCGTAAGGACTGGTAGGTGGTGGGGTGGGTCTTGAACCCAGGTCTATAAAACTTTAGTGCCTTTCCACTAAAGCAAGGCAGCAGCATGCACCAGAGATCTAACTGGCAAAGGAGCGCTTAATAACACAAAGAAAGATAGAGAAGAGGAAACGAGAGGGAGGAAGAGAAAAAAAGGAGAGATGAGAGAAATGAGCTAATGATGGTGCCTTTTAGAGGTTGCTGATTGGTGCATTCATGTCGAATATGGCTGCTGGGTTTTTGGAGTTAAGAAAACAAAGGTCCTTTCTTCCTCTCCCAGTTGGAACCAGTG